TCGGAAAGGGACTGGAGAAAAATAATCTAGTCTAACCTAATTTTATGGATGATATTCATTCTGTAATGGAAGGGAAGCATGTGGTTTAGTGACTGCGAACACAATAGGACTGAAAGTCAAGGGACCCAAGTTCTAAACCTGAACTTGGCACTAAGGCATTATGGCATAAACTGCCTTGACGTCTTCATCCATCCTTGCTTCCAAACTGTCATTTGTAGAATCCACAGACTGAGGAGCTGGAAATAAAAAGGGACTATCAGCTTGACCCAACCTCCCACCCATTCAATCAGAGCAGCACTGTTCGGATCTCTTTTATATTATTATAATTGGAAAAGAGATCTCACTGGCTTTTCTCTTTTTTAAGTTAGATGTTTACTGGTGTTTCCTCAAGCCTGAGAATCACACATGGATCAAGAGAGAGAGACCTGCAGCACAGACTGGTACTGACTTTAGAAATGTACACTCAGGGGCTTTGGGAGCACATGGTGTGGATAACTAATCCTGCTGGATCTGCAGAGTAGGAGGAGTTTAAATTGACTTCCCAGAATTAACAGATGATAGGTCTTCCTCGTAATGTTCTTGACTTTCTTTTCTATCTGTCTTTAATAAAAGCTACTGGAGGCTTCTTTTGGAATAAGATGAGAGAGGATGAGCAAAGTTCCAAGAACTGCTAAATAGAACGCTTGTCTGACTGTAATCCTGGGAAAACTGCTTAACCAAAATGAACTTCCATGTCAACATCTGGCTATGCAGGACCAGCAAAAACAGATAAGACCTCAAAGCATTGTCATGAAGATTAGATAATGTGTGTAAAAGTACTAATAAAACTATAAACCCTATAAAATATTGATTATTGTTATTAATACTGGAAAAGGCTTTAACTCCAATTGACTGACATGATCTTTCCCAACTACGCTAAGATTGTCATCTAGCAGAAGTTTGGCTCATGTTGGGCAACTGGGAGAAAATGCCACTTTCCAATGTAAATAGTGATAACAATTGTGAAATCTTCATTAAAAAAACAGATCCTCTTCAGTTTTCATATTTAAAAAAAAAAAAGCTGCTGGAGATTTTACTTTTTTTTTCTTCTGTATTGGCAATTGAACCCAGGGCCTTTGCACAGAGCTATATCCCAGGTGTTTTCTTAATTTTAATTTTCAGACAGAGTCTCACTAGATTACTAAATTGCCCAGGGCTTGAACTTGAGATCCTCCTGTTTCAGCCACCCAGAGTGCTGGCATTACTGGCTTGCACTGCCATGACCCCACTAATGTGCTAGATTTTTTTTTAAAGACACTCTAATGTCTAAATTTAGCTAACTTGAAATAAAAGCAGTTGGCTGCTAGGTGTGGCAGCATATATCTATAACCCTAGCACTCTGGGAGATTAATGCAGGAGGGTATCAAGTTAGAGCCCATCCTGAGCGATTCAATTTAGCAAGACCCTGTCTCAAAATTTAAAAATTAAAAAAAAATTTTTTTTGGAAGTCCTGCAGATGTAGCTCAGTGTGAAAGCCTTGGGTTCAGTACCTAGTATGGGGGGGTAGGTTGTTAAGACAAATGAAAGACCAACTCCTACCAGTACTGCTTCTCCTACACCCTCTTGCTGGGCTACTCTTAACACTCTGAGGTCAAGTCAGGTCCTATTCATTGTCTTAAAATTCTATGATTTCTTTCTTTTTTGGGGGGAGGGGGAGAATTTTAGACAGAGTTACCCTATATAGTTCAGGCTGGCCCTGAATTCACTACGCAGCCCAGGCTGGCCTCAAACTCATGGTAATTCTCCTGCCTCAGCCTTCCAAGTGTTGGGATGATAGGCGTGTGCCACCATGCCTGGCTTTTTGAGGAGGGGGGATGTTTATGATTTCAATATTTAAGAAAGAATTTATATTCCTTATGGCATTCCTGCAGTGCAAACTATTTTGAAAGGAATGATAGAAAAGTCTTCTGAAATTAAAAATAAAAGTGAAAAATACTCAATAAAGTTTAAAAGATTTGCTTAATCAACTTTCTTTCTCCAAGAATCCAATGCACCATAATTTCCTAATTTTAAGTGCTGAAATCTGGCTGTCCTATTCTAAATTATGATCAGCTCTTACTTATTGTCTTGATCTCGCATACTTCAACCCAGTTAGTGGGGATGCTCCATTCAAGGATGAAATTCAGTTGTTTCTTGTTATACTGACACTTTCTTCACAAAAGACAAAATTTGCCTGCAACACACTTAAAGAATGTTCAAAGAAAAATCTTGGCAGATTTTTCAAAAGGAACAGCACTTGCCACATGTGTTTGTGGTGACTTTTTTCTTTTTTAAAAAATTCTGGAATACCAATTAATGATTAATTAATGATTTAATTAATGATTAATTAATGATTCCCTGGCTCTGTGTCCCTTACCCTGAGTAGTTTTAAATGAAATACAACATACGAAGGTTTGTTTATAGCTTCTTGATCTTTTATTTTTGTACTATTTCTATGAAGGAAAAAAAATTCGTCAAAGCTCAAGGGTCTGCAAAATAGAAGGGAATGGTAGAAATATGAGTAAGCCCAGGTTGCCCTCAGGGCATTGTTACTCTAGCTTTCCAGAAAAGAAGGTGGTGCTTAAAAGAAGAAATTCCCAAAATTTCCTACAGACTAAAGCTTTGTCATTCCAATGAACTCTAAACTAAGACTCTTTGCATCTCATTTTCTCATTTGGTTTTATCACAGCCAACAAAACCTTCAGTGTTGAATTACTTCCCTTCTCAATGAACACCAGACTCCCATCGTATCTGTACAAACTGAAATAATGAAACCTAAGTGTGTGACCAAAGTTTAGGAATGGGGTGGGAGGCGGGGACAGGATCTTCTCGTGTCTGTGCTAACCAAAAGTGCAGTTTTCCAGCCCTCCTTTCTTCATGCCTATGAATAAATAAATAAATAAAAGCAGAAGTGTCACAGGGCTTGAAAACCCCACTTAAAATAATCAGATTTCTCTTTCAAGTTCCCTTGAAATACAAAGCAATTCTACAAGAAATGTGAACCCCAAAAATCTGAACAAATTGGACCTATATGTATAGATCAAGTAGGAGCTCATATAGTTGATAAATGCTTTTAAAAAGGTAGCCATAGGGCCAGGCGTGGTGGCACACACCTGTAATCCCAGCACTCGGGAGGCTGAGGCTGAGGCATGAGGATCGCTGTGAGTTTGAGACCAGCCTGGGCTACATAGTGAGTTCCAGGTCAGTCTCAATTACATAGTGAGACCCTGTCTCAAAAAGCCAAAAAAAAAAAAGTAGTCATAGGGCTAGGTGTGGTAGCACGCACATATAATCCCAGCACTGAGGATGATGAAGGAGGATTGCTGCAAAGTTAAAACCAGGCTGAATAATAAAGGGAGAACCTGCTTCAAAAAAAAAAAAAAAAAAAAAAAAACCACAAAACTTTCCGCCACCTGCCTTGTAAGCACAAAGACTCGAGTTCGATCCCCGGTACCAAACCAGCCCCCCCAAAAGTAATCATGATGTTGAGAAATGAAATCTGCTCCACGCATCCAAGCCAGAGATATAAAACAAGTAGCTTTGTTTTAACACAAGTCAGAAATTTTTTGGTTTCACACCGTTGTATTATGCCAGCCATTTGTAAAAATTGCTTAATGTTTACTTTGTATCAGGCATTAGACAGGTTCTTGTCCTCAGCGAACTTATAATTCAGTTGAGAAGCCAAAATTTATGGTGATTTAAAAAGGACACAAGACAAGGTATAATTAAATGTTAAATAATGTGGTACAGATGTTAAGCCACCTAGAAGATCAGAGGAAAGGAAAAGTGGCTCGGGCTGAAACTGCCAAGAGAAGGTATTTTCAAAACCTCTTAAAATAATGCCAAATTTAAAAGTTGTTGTAACTGCTGCTAATTTGTGATTTTAAGGCATTCACATGATACACCACTGCTCTCCAACCAGTAGCTGTTGAAAAGCATATACTTGAGCAATGAAGATGTCAGGAGATACTGCTTTATAACTCCCTAGATTTGCTAATGAGGAACAAATACACATAGTTTCCTGTTGGATAACAAACACATGAATAGAGCAGATTTTGCATGGGGAATTTAGTGAGCAAGAACACAAAACTCTGGCTGTGATTTTTGGTGTGAGTTTTGGTTTCTAACGAGCTGTTTTCTTCTGCTAAACAAGTTTTAAGTTTAGGGAGTGAGTCAGACTCAAAAATAATTGTTATCTATTTTCACAATTTATTTTAGTTTTACGAAAAATGAGCTAGAGTTCAAGTTGTATCCTCAAAGCAATGAAACTCTTCTGACTCCTAAAAGACGCTGTGTGGGGGACGTCTAGTATCCTTTAAAATTGAGGCATCTGAAGAACAACTAATCCTTCCCAATCAGGAGACTTCAAGGGTGCATCTGCACTCTTGGTCTTAAAAATGCTGGCAGAGATCCCAGTCCTTTGTATTTCTTACCTTTTCACCCTGTGCAATGCAGGCAACCAGAGCTCAATTAGATTTGTCATTATGCCATTTAAACTGCTAAAACAGAGGCATGTTGAATTACTTTAGACAAGTTTAGCATATCGGAGTTTGCATTCTCTCTCTGTTTACGTTCAGGACCTTCTCGAGAAATTGTGTACCCAATTCTTTTTCATACCAGTTGTACAACCAGGCAAAAGAGCACACTCTCGTGTTCCCTGAAGGGGAAGAAACCTGCAATAATGGGAAGTAATTAAATTTAGCCTTAGAAAAGTCTTTGAAAATGTTCTAATCAAGACTTCCAGCTTTCCCGAGTGCGCGCGCGCTTTATTTTTCAATCTTCCTGGTCCCGATCTTGCGTTCCTAATGAAAAGTGAGCTGACAAAGCGTGAAAGTGGCCTAAGCCAGCAAGCCCGCTTACGGTGAGCCAGCAATTAATCAATATTCCAGAAACCTCGGGGCTCTCCCCGCCCTCCCGGTTCTGTTTTCACTGCCCCGCTCCCCCTTTCCCGCGCCCGGGCTCCTCCCCTTTTCTTAAGTGGCCCTGATAGTAACTTGCAGTTTCCGAGCACATGCAGATTGCCCGGGCTAGCCTGCCGCTCGCTCGCCGCGTCCTGCTCCTCGGTCCTGCCTGCCCGGAGTGCAGCTTGTCATTGCCAGGGCTGTCTTCCACCCGCTGGGAAATCGCAAAAGGTAAGTGTAACGACCCGAGTTCTCCTGGGTTTACTCTCTCGTCCCACTTCCCTGCAGCCTGTCGTGCTCCAGCGCGGGGCAGCGAGTAACCGCTGGCCATGTTGGCAGGTCAAGTCCACGCCAGGGATTGAACGCAGGAGCATGGTGGCTGGTTAAACCGGATCCACTCCCAGTTTGGGACGTGAAGGGTACACTAGGGTAGGTTGTGGCTGGCGATCTAGAAAAGGGTCGATTGAGCCGATCTGCTTTAAAGTGACTGACTGGTAAAGGCAATCAGCGCACTTAGTTAAAAAGAAAATGCGGACCTTTCCCTTCTCCTCGTTTTCAATTCTCTCTAAGCTTTTAATCTGGTGTAAAGTCTTAGACAAGTTGTACCTCTTATATCAGTGACCTCAATCTGCAATTTTGTTTAAAAGTCAAACTGTTCAAACAAATCTTTTTTTCCACCCACCCCTGTGCTTGCCAAACGCCTGCGAGCGTCCTGGGTTTCCAATTACCTCCCCACACTCACACTCTGGCTCCCGACGGCCTGGATGCCTGCGTCGCCAGATACACACGTCCGCAGGCACCGCCGAGCTTCCCTCGGATGATCGTGCTTGGCGAAGATTACGGATTAGGACACTCGCAAAGCAGCGGGAGGAATCTCTTGGTTTTTCAGAACAGCTGATTCCTAGCAAAGAAAAAAGCTTTTCCTTAATTGTGTTTGAATAATCTAAGAGCGCTTTAAAGAAACCAGAAACCACAGACTGTAACTTCTGGAATGAAAAATGGATTCTTCTCATCTGTTGTAGAAATCCCAAATTTTAAAATATTTAGGAATCAGTGATAGTTTCCTCAGAAGACTCCAATGTATTTGCCACAAAGACAAATGCTAGTTTGTCCTTCTACATCTAGTAAAATGAAAATGGATTATGAGTTCAGATAATTAGTAGATATGCCTGAAGCACTTAGTTTATTTCATGGGGAAAAAATCCAAAGGTACCCTGTAAAGTAATCAAACGTATATATGCCCCTGGGCACTTGTGTTCCTTTCATGATATTTACTAGTTGCTCTCTCTCTCTCTCTCTCTCTCTCTCTCTCTCTCCTTTTTCCTCTCAGAGCCTTCCATAACCCGGGGGCACTTAATCAGTGACCTACACCCCTAGCTCACCCACCACCACCCTTTTTCAGGCAAGGTCTCACTGTATAGTCCGTGTTGGCTTTGAACAAGGAGCCCTCTTGCCTCATACCCCAACTGATGGAATATCAGGTGTAAGACACAATACCTGGCTCCTCTACCTCTTTTTATTTTGAGACAATGCTATATTAAGTTGTAAATTGTCCAGGCTGGCCTAGAACTTCCTGTCATATAATCTCAAGTAAATGGGATTATAAGTATGTGCCACTTGGCCCAACTCTCTCTTCTTTCCATAATGAAGAACATAACCAGTTACTTTATTACACTCACCTGCTGAATATGCTGACTAGTCCTCCTTATCGACCTGGTTATGCCTTCAATCACATATACAACATGAATTATCAATGAACTATTGGGTACTTCCTATGTGTTCAGTTAGTTGGACATTTATTGATTATAGTCATTACACAAAATATTTGACCAAGTTCTGAGGGTAGAGTAGGGATAGAGGATGCTCCTCACATGTAGCTCTGAAGCCCTGTTTTTACCTCATTCAAAGGAAAAGGACCAACTTTGAAAAATAGAACACAGGTTCCATGAAAACATTCTGAATTTATACCCATTCCTCATCTTGGTCCTGTACAATATGTGCATTCCAGCCTGGAAACCCCATACTGTGGCTCTCCAATCCTTGATTCCTGCTGAGATTACACATTTTGCCCACGGCCTGTCATAGTGTGGGGCAACACTGACTTCTCATCCCTGGAATCTGTAACTCTTGTCTTTTTCTCTCCCGGTCTAGCTGTTTTCTCTCACACCAAAGAGGAGATTTGACTTTCTGGGGTGGTTCCAAGACACTGCAGTGCAAAGAAGAGACACTCTTAGAAAATAAAACATGACCAAAAGCAATGGGGAAGAGCCCAGGATGGGAGGCAGGATGGAGAGATTTCAGCAAGGAGTCCGTAAACGCACACTTTTGGCTAAGAAGAAAGTGCAAAACATCACAAAGGAAGATGTTAAAAGTTACCTGTTTCGGAATGCTTTTGTGCTGCTTACTGTCTCCGCTGTCATTGTGGGTAAGTTCTTCGACAAAAACAAAAACAAACAAGCAAAAACCCTGTATCTTGTTTCTCTAGGGCATCTGACTACCTAGGAACATTACCAGATGGATTGATTGTAGATATTCAAAATGATAGCCCGGATTCTCCTTTGAATTTGTAGATTTTTCTTTCCCCAGAAAAATTAGCTATTGACATATTTGGAGCAATAGATGGTAAACACATGAAAATCTGAAAGAAGCCTCACTAGGCATTATGCAAATCACTTGATTGTGAGATGAGGGGAAAAAAATCAAACATTTTCCATTTTAGGAATAAAGGAGCAATTTAATCATTAGGGATGAGCAGTTAAGTAACAACAGAAATAAGCAAACATGCTATACTTGGCCACATCTAACCATTATACAATATCACTTTTACTTAAAACTACTTTATACAATTAGTACCCCCAAAATGAGATATGTTTCCTTAATAGTAATTATATTCTAATTGGTGCTGACTTGAAGCTGAGCGTCAGTGTTTAAATACATAAGCCAATTCTTTTATGTGTTTCCATGTTTTCACCCAGCGGCTGGGAAAGAAAGGTAAATTGTAGTTCAAAATGTCCTTGAACTCACTATGGTCACCCTGGATGACCTCAAAGTTGCAGCAATCCTCCTGCCTCAGCCTCCAGTGTGCTGGGATTATAGGCATGCGCCACGATGCCAGACACCCAACTACAGCTTTTTATAAAACATTCCAGTCTCTTACTAATTCAGCAGATTGAAACATTGTTTTCTTTGGTTTGTTGGTATTGAAGCTTTAGTTTATTAGTTATGGGTAGCATTGATCTTAAAATATAGCTGAAAAAATACTTGGAATTTTTTTTACCAAATTAATAAAAAATCCATAGGTTGGCAAATATACACACCAATACCAGATTATAAAAAAAGTTCTAACTTAATTTTACCTTAATTGGCTACCAAAAATGGCAATCAAACAGTTTTAATATCAGCCTTGGAATTAGTCAAGATCTCCAACTATAAAGACGTAATGAGTTAATAAAAATTAAGAAAATTCTGTAGCATCTAAATATAGCTTTTCCCGAAAAAATAAGATTCATAAATTGCAGCCAAATTGAAATACAGCAGAAGAGTACAGTTTGTCACAGGACTTTGGATAGATCCCATTTCAATATCTTTGGCTCCTTTTTATAACATCTGACCAATGAGTATTAATTGTAAAGAAGCTCAAAGAGAGCACATCCCGATTCACCCAGAGATATGATGGCTTTCTTTGTTTAGTTTCCCAGACTTGAGTATATTTCTGGAAGAGGTATTTCAGTACAGTGTCATTAATATGGAACTCAAAGCAAAGAGTACTACCTTGATCTCATTTTTTGTTCTGAATCACAGTCATTGTCAAGCCAAGGAATAGCTGCATAAAACTCAAAGCAAACATTTATGTAGTACTGTTCCAACTACTTTCTAGGTGTTGTGCATGTATTAGCTCACTTAATCCCCAAACAAATCTAGGAAGTGAGTGGGTAGGTATGATTTCTAGGATCTTTCTCATTTTGTAAATGCAACTGGTCATGGAGAGATCAAACCACTCACCCCAAGTAGCAAGGCTAGTAAATGCTGGAATAGGAAGTCAAACGAGTCTAGTGCAGACTGCTGACTAGTTGCCATCTTGTGAGAAATGCCAGGAAGAGAAACACTTCCATGTGTGGTGGGGGGCAATTAGCAAGCAGAGCTAGATGCATTCATATATCATTGCCATTTTGTCATTGGTTTACCCAACTAAACTCAGCAAAAAAACTTATCTTTCTCATTCGTTTGATAAATCTCCATTATTTTTTTTAATCTTATATGTATCACGTATTCAAAATGTATCCAAACAGAAGAAGAATTCAATCTCTAAAAGAGAATACTTCTACTAAAGAATAGAGGAAGGGAAACCAATAAAACCTGACCATGGAAGGCAAATTCTTGGAAAAGGAAGTTCCTAAATACAAAGAAATATCTCTAATAAATAGGAAGAAAATGCCAGGAGTTGATGTTCATTTTCTCTAGGAGCTCTAAGATCACTTCCTAGCCCATTAAGGCCTTTCCTCCAATTTGTGAGAATTGCAGTAAGAGTTGGCAGAGCTGGAGGAGATGAGTTGGCAGGAAGCCCTCATGGTTGGCCTTACCAGAGGAAACTGAGGAGTTAGGATCAGCAAGAAGAAGGCACTAACAAAGAAACATAGAAAAAAAAAAAAAAAAAAAAAAAG